AGGTGCCTGACCTGCAGGAAGGTCAAGGTTGAGCACCAGAAACCTCACGGCAAGGTCCAACCGTTGAATATCCCGCTGTGGAAGTGGGAGGATATTACTATGGATTTTATTACGAAGCTTCCCAGGACCGCGCGTGGAGTGGATTCAATTTGGGTCATCGTTGATCGATTGACAAAGAGCGCCCATTTTATTCGATTCAGGAGAGCATTTCGGCCTAAAAGTTGGCTGACATCTATATCAGGGAGGTAGTGGCGCGGCACGGGGTGCCAGTTTCAGTGATTTCCGACAGGGATGTACGGTTCACTTCCAGGTTCTGGAAGAGGTTTCATGAAGAGCTGGGTACTCGTCTGCACTTTAGCACCGCCTTTCACCCGCAGACGGATGGTCAGAGCGAGCGGACCATCCAGACTTTAGAGGATATGATGCGGGCGTGTGTTTTGGACTTCGAAGGTAGTTGGGATACTTACCTTCCACTGGCGTAGTTCTCCAATAATAACAGCTATCATGCGAGTATCGACCGTCCTCCTTTCGAGATGTTGTATGGGAGGAAGTGTAGGACCCCGATATGCTAGGGTGAGGTGGGTTAGAGGGTCATGGGGAGTACCGAGGTGGTATTCAAGACGACGGAGAGGATCCAGCAGGTTCGGAGTAGGCTTCAGACTGCTCAGAGTTGGCAGAAAATTTATGCCGACAAGCGTCGATCGGACCTGGAGTTCCAGGTCGGGGATATGGTGCTCCTGAAAGTGTCGCCTTGGAAGGGCGTCATTCGATTCAGGAAGCGGGGAAAGATGGGCCCCAGATATATCAGACCCTTCAGGGTTGTAGCCCGGGTGGGCAAGGTGGCATATAGGCTGGATCTGCCAGCCGAACTCAGTAAGATTCATAGCACTTTTCACATCTCTCAGTTACGGAAGTGTCTGGTGGACGATTCGACGGTGGTACCATTAGAGGATATTCAGGTGGATGACAGCCTGAATTACATCGAGCGGCCAGTGGCGATCCTTGACAGGAAATCGAAGGATCTGAGGAACAAGAGAGTGGAGCTGGTAAAGGTGCAGTGGCAGGACCGCAATGGCTCGGAATGGACCTGGGAGCCGGAGGACGAGATGAGGGAGAATTACCCCGAGCTTTTTCGGGACCGAGCAGCAGACTTCGAGGATGAAGTCTAAGATAAGTGGGGGAGATTTGTAACACCCGATTCCTGGTATGCCTTTAATTCAAGTATTCTTATGTTTTCTCTAGGACTCGACGAGTTGGAGGCCCAACTCGTCAAGTAGAGTCGTGATCCGCGGGAAGTTTAAGTAGTCTACTCGACGAGTCGGGAGACCGACTCGGCGAGTAGACGCTGTTTGAGTGAAACCCTAAATTGAGGGTTTGCACCCTATTTAAACACATTATAACCCATCAACTCAGCCCCCGTCGTCCAGAGTAAACCCTAACTCGAAACCCTAGCCTTTTTTAGTGTGTTCTTGAGCCTTGTGGTGTTGCTTTGTGTGATTGAAGCTTGAAGAATAGAAGGAGGCTTGTGAGATCAAGGGGAAACAAGAAGATCCAGAGTTTTGAGCATATTTCCAGCTTATTAGAGGTATAAAGCCGAAACCTTGTCTATTCATTGTCTAGATCTTGATTTTGGACTTTTTCTTCATCTTTCTAAGCCCTAGTAAGGATGTATTCGGGATTGAGTATAATAAGTGAGTTTGTGCTTCAGATCTAGGGTCATTGGGGGTCCTTTTGGCATAAAGGTGCCCACTTTGTCGCCATAAACACCCCATGCATCTTGTAGACCATCTTTTATGGCTTTTTGAGCCAATGATCCCATGCATGTGCACCAAGCTTGTGGCTTTACGAGTAAAATGGACATTAGGAGGCCAGATCTATAGTTTTGATGTGTTAAGACCCATTTAAATCGACTGTATAGTAATGGTCAAGGATGGACTCGGCGAGTCGTTCTTAGGACTCGGCGAGTCGGGGTGTAATGACCACCAAATCCCTTCTGTCGATGGACCAGATGAGAGTGTGTAAGGTCCCTCAGTTGTTTGGGCTCTTAAGGGACCTGGGAATCATGGGACTCGACGAGTGCTAGAACAAACTCGGTGAGTCCAAGGCAATCTCCCAATCTTTGAAGATGGACTCGACGAGTTGTTCTTATAACTTGGCGAGTCATAGCCTGGACGCACTCATTTGCTGAAGATGAACTCGACGAGTTCAAGGAAGAACTCGGCGAGTCGGTTGAAGATTAACTGAAGTGTTGTTGAAGGTTAACTCGTCGAGCTCTTGCTAGACTCGACGAGTGAGGACGGGTTTGTAGTATTCTGTGGACGAAGGGACTCGACGAGTTGGCAGACCAACTCGGCGAGTCTGGTCAACCAAAGAGTTGACTTGACCAGGGTTTGACTTTGACTTTGACCTGGATTCGAGTTGACCCTTGTAGGGGTTGTGAGTACAAGTTGATTACTTAGAGGGGTTGTCGTGTAGGGATTGAGGAGTCGAAGAGAGCCGACTTTCACACCGAGGGTAGTGCAGACACTACACGACTTGGAGGTGAGTTTCCTTCTAGTAGGGGTGGGTCTACGGCCACAATGCCGACCCACCAGCAAGGGTGTTGCGTAGATGATTGTCTTTGTGATAATCATCTAGGATTGATGTGCGATATGATTATTGTGCTTGATATGATCATTGTATTTGATATGCTTGTTGTGCTTGATATGTATTAGTAATAGCAGGGGTGGAATAGTCCCCAGATACCGGTTGAAATATACCGAAGGGGAGGGTAGCTCCCGGATACCGGTTGAAAGATACCGAAGGGGAGGGTAGCTCCCGGTTACCGGTTGAAAGATACCGAAGGGAATGGTAGTTCCCAGTTACCGGTTCAAAGATACCGAAGGGGAGGGTAGTTCCCAGTTACCGGTTGAAAGATACCGAAGGGGACGATAGTTCCCAGTTACCGGTTGGAAGATACCAACGATTATGCATTATTTGGTATGGGTATGATGGGGGAACTCACTAAGCTTTGTGCTTACAGTTTCAGTTTTGGTTTCAGGTACCTCTTCGTCTAAGGGGAAGTAGCCGGCGGGGTAGCAGCGCATCACACACACATATGGTTTCCGCATGTAGATTTCTGGGATTGTACTCTGATTTTTATTACTTTTGATGATATGGTTTTCAGACACGTTGTTATGGTTTATATAAATTGATATGACATTGGCAATGTTTGACAAACTATTTATGAATCTTGTATTCAAAAAAAAATAATAAAAAAAATAAAAAAAAATTGGCTTCGAAATTTGAGATGTTACACAAAATTTATGACCTTTTAATATTTATTTCGTAATTAATGCATACACCAAAAACAAGATTATCCTACTTCACATACTTAGAATTGCCTTTTGGATGGCAGGAATTTAGATTTGGGGCTTAAGAGCGTTAATTTTTTCTTCTCTGCACAATTGACGAACTTTGAAATCTCATTTAACGATAGGCATGGGTTTGACTTCAAAAATTAAGGAATTTTTTAATTGAATTAAAATTTCCATGACAATTGTTTTGTTTTGTGGGTAGTGTCTAGTTACCGACCAGTACCATTTCTGAATTTTTATTTCCATTGATGTAATATTTTTTGTAATAATTTCAATCTCTCGACATACATATTATTTATAAATTTGTAACAGTGTAGAAAGAACATTGGTGATAAGGCCGATTAATGTTTCAAATTTTGATGTTTGTATAACTATGAACTGTCTATATTTGTTTATTGTAATTTAGTTTTTTCAAGATTCCCTGCAATCTTTATCTTTTTCGCAATTGGAATCTGTCCTATTTGAACCAAGGGAAAACAACCAGACGTTGGGAAACAAAAAGAGACAAATACCTTATCGGTTGGCACATCAAGACCAACAAAGAAAATGAAATAGGTATGCAGATACGCCAAAATAACAAATCATTTGTGAAACTTTACAGAAATGTTTTCCAGTGATCGTCCCACCAAACACTTTATTAAATACCAATTTACCAAACATAAAGTATTGATATGTTCATTTCCACATTAGTTGTTATGTTTTTATGGTACTAAATCTAAAAGGCCAACAAGCAACTACATTTCCTCTCTAATAGTTTATCTCAATCATATTATTAGTTGTTACATGTGATATTATTACTCAATAATGTTACATTCCATATACTTATTTTGTATTTTTTATCACGCGTTTAGAATTAATAACGTGACTTTCACTTATTGAGGTTTATTCATGTGTTGTTATAGACGGTACAATCAACTAAAACATAATACCCATATTCAATCAACTCTTAAATAGTCAACCATCTGTTTCAAAACTCAGATTTTTAAAATTTGTACATGTGGTTACTTTGAATTCAAGATTTATATCGACTTTTCATGAGTGTTTATTCAAATTCAGAATTACGTTTGCTTATTTATAAATCAGAGTTTTGTATATTGATTCTTGATCTATTAATGACTAATCCATATATTTTCATGGGTGTTTATTCAAATTCAGAATTACGTTTGCTTATTTATATTTCGGAGTTTTGTATATTGATTCTTGATCTTCTAATAACTAATCCATATTTTCATTGATGTTCTGTGGTGATCACATATCACCTAACATCAAAGGGATGGGGATGTTTTTTCACTGACATATATTAGAGGGGAAATTTATCAATGTCGTCATCTGTACTATCGTCACATGTCTAGAAAACGAAATTGAAGAAGTGACTAAATTAACAAAATGAACAACTGATTCTTGAATCAGCTTCAACATGGGTTCTACTTCTGTCATCAGCCCATGGGTCGTGCGTGCGCGCGCACACACACACTAATAATTAATACCACTCATTGAACCGGAGATCATTGATAAGCAAAAATATATAACCATTAGAATAGTAGTGAAACCAAACAAAGGTATAGTAGATCCATTCATATATATGAACTAGAGACAAACCAATATATCAAAAAAAAAAGAACCAAATAAATCACTTAGAGAATTTCAGCCTCTTCTCAGAACCCAACCCTTGTCCAGGTTCACCAGTTGCTCAAGGGTTACAAGAGACCATCTGTGTTCAGTTTGAGCAAACAGCTTTTGGTTGAGAGAGTCTATGATTACACTAATGTTCCCAAACCTAAACACTTGATGGCCATCTTTCATTCTTCCCACTATAGGCATAAACAGCAAATCATTATCTTGTGCATAAACTCCAATAAGTTCCTTCAAACTCATAGCAACAATACCAACACCACCAGAACCTAGTTGCTGTCCCTTTGCTGCCTGAGGTTCAGAGTGGGTCTTGATGTTTTCTCTGAAACCTGGATGGACAACCTCCAAGCCTTCAGCCGCCTGGTTCATCATGTTCAGACCAATATTAAGCCAGTATCTTACATGTGTTAGGATCGAGACACTTAACACATACCACTTGTTAGGATCGAGACACTTAACACACCACTCTAAACACACGAACAACAAAGATTTAAGGTGGTTCGGTCTATTTCTGACCTACATCCACACGAGGTAACTAGGAGTTTATATTTCTTGGTGCTAATCTGCACTCACTCTTTGTTGCTTATTTTTACAATACAGATGAGACTCATATATAGAGTCTGAAGTAAACAATTGAACAAGAAAAGCAGCCATGAAACATGCATCCGGGAAATATGGATCACCTCTCCTTTTCCACCTTTTTGACTTGCTTTTCTTCCATGTTTTCTGCCATGTTTTCTGCCTTTTTGACCAGCCCAATGGCTTCACACTCAACAATCTCCCACTTGAAGCCACGAAACAATCTTCACCATAGCTTCAACTGTGTATCTGTATTTCTGTAAAAACTTTTGATCTTGACTCCTTCCTAGTTACCCTGGCCTTCTCTTCAATTTACCTGAAGGCTAGTTGAAGCTTCCGTTAGCTCCAACACATCAGTCATGACTAAGTCTGCCACTGACCTGTTCTCTGTCTCCACCGGCTCCCACTGAAATGAACTGCCCGATCCTGGAATATCCTGAGAACAAACGACACTCTCTATATGAAGCAGATAATCTGGAGAGACTTTTACAGATGGAATACTGGTTCTCTTAACCCACTGTGTTCTGGGTATTCTAGCTGAAGCACAACCCTTGCTCCCACTGCTATGAATGCCCTTGACTGGTTTTTCTGAACCGTTCCAAACACGTTCAACCTGAATCTGACCTGTGACTCTGGGTTTGCCATCTGCAAAGCAAACCTTCTTCTGTCCACGAGACTCTATGAACCGGATTTTGTTTTTCTTCTGAACTGGGACGGTTACTCCCTCAGATGGTAATCTGACCATATATAATGAACCCTTCTTATGTCCACGAGCTATCACAAGATTTCCTTTGACAACCTTCCACTGCCCATTCCTGAACTTAACCTCGTGTCCCTGTTCATCCAACTGCCCAACAGAAATCAACTGTTTCTTCAGACTTGGAATTACCCGGACATCCTTCAAAGTCCATGGACCAACTAGAGTCTTCAAAACTAAGTCACCTATGCTCGTCACATCAAGAACCTCATCGTTCGCCAGTCTTACCTTACCAAAATCTCCTTCTTTTAGATTCTGCAGTGCTTCACGGCTGTGGGTAGCGTGAAATGAAGCACCCGAATCCATAACCCAGGAATCCACATTGCTCTCCACACTACAGATCAAAACATCATCATCTGAATGGTCTACTGCAGCGTTAACTTCTTTCTTGTCTTTGGACATTGATTCCTGAAATGTCCACCTCTTTACAGTTCCAACAAGTCACATCATTTCGAGTCCTCGACTGACTCCTTCTCCTGTTCCCGCTCCCACTACCATCTGTTATTTTTTTCTACCTCTGACCGCATTCAATTGTTCACTTGATGATTCCCCGGAATTTCTTCGTCTGACGTCTTCGCCTAGAATTAAATCCCGAATTCCCTCAAAAGTGAGCTCTTTCGATCCTGAGGAACTAGTAACGGCTGTAACTGTTCCGGACCAATTGTCAGGTAATGATGATAACAGTAGTAAAGCTTGAACTTCGTCCTCAAATTTTATTCCCACTGACCCAAGTATGGATAAAATCGAGTTCAAATTGTTGATGTGTACTGTAACTGAACTTCATTCCCTCATCCTCGTGTTGACTAGCTCCCGAATCAGGAAGACTTTATTTGCTGCCGACGGCTTCTCGTACATATTAGACAATGCCTCCATGATTCCCTTTGCCGAGGTCTCCTTCAAAATGTTGAAGGCAACATCCTTTGACAACGTCAGTCTAATAAATGCCTTGGCCTTCTTATCCAAAATCTCCCAGTTTGCCTGTGTTATCGCCTCCGGTTTATCACCCAAAACTGCGTCCAAGTCTTTCTGCACGAGCAAATCTTCAATTTGCATCTTCCACCAACCAAAATCTTTCCCATCAAACTTCTCAATCTGAAGCTTACTGTTTTCTGCCATTTTCTGAAAGATTAGGGGCTAAACTGCAATTTTCTGAAAGTTCAGGGGCTAAACTACAATTTTTCAAATCTGCTACAGTGTTGCTACAGTGCCTGCTGACGTCACCGCTGACGTCGTGCTACAGTGCTTGCTACAATTTCTGTTGACGTCACCGCTGACGTCGTGCTACAGTGCCTGCTACAGTGTCGTCTTCTCCGGCAGAACTCCGGTGCTACGGTGTCGTCTTCTCCGGCGGAACTTCGGTGCTACAGTGTCGTCTTCTCCGGCGGAACTTCGGTGCTACAGTTTCGTCTTCTCCGGCGAAACTGGTTTTTCCGGTAACTATTCCGACAACCTTTGACCGGCGATTTGGACGTCTTCCGGTGGTCAAAAATTCAGAAAAAAATATTTTCGAATCTTCGGAACGAGACCTTTCCAACGGTATACACCAAAATCGTTTTTGACGAAAAAAAATTTCGACCAAAAACTGAAAATCACCTTCTGGAGCTAAAACCTTGCTCTGATACCACTTGTTAGGATCGAGACACTTAACACATACCACTTGTTAGGATCGAGACACTTAACACATACCACTTGTTAGGATCGAGACACTTAACACACCACTCTAAACACACGAACAACAAAGATTTAAGGTGGTTCGGTCTATTTCTGACCTACATCCACACGAGGTAACTAGGAGTTTATATTTCTTGGTGCTAATCTGCACTCACTCTTTGTTGCTTATTTTTACAATACAGATGAGACTCATATATAGAGTCTGAAGTTGAACAAGAAAACAGCCATGAAACATGCATCCAGGAAATATGGATCACCTCTCCTTTTCCACCTTTTTGACTTGCTTTTCTTCCATGTTTTCTGCCATGTTTTCTGCCTTTTTGACCAGCCCAATGGCTTCACACTCAACAACATGCTCATTCGACAGAAGCTGGGGTGGGATAAGATCCTTCCAACCCAGGTACCAATTTATAACTTGTTGAAAATCCGGCTTTGAACATAACCATTGGTACAGAACTTGTAGCCACTTGTTAAAAAACACGTCCATTATACGAAGTATGTGATGAGTCGGAATCGCACTAGCCCAAGTTCGGACCCAGTAAAACTGGTCAAGCTTCTGATCTGCTGGATTGACTTGGAATTCATGCATGACTGCCAGCAACTTTGGAATGATGTATCGGACCATCGTCTGTTCCCAGCTTGTCGGGTCAAAAACAGTCTTCCAGGGAGACAATATGTAGTAAGCTGACATATCACTTGGGTGCCAAGCATGCATAACATTTTCTAGACGATTCCTTATGGTATGATGCAATGTCTGGAGCTTCTGCCCCAGCAATGGCAGCCATGGATGGACCCACGAATGTATTGGTATGGTTTCCCGACGTGGGTCCCACGAGTCGACAACAGACGCTAACTTTGGCATGACAATGTTGTCAAGTATGGTTTGAAGAGCAGAGTGAGGGAGTAGTTGTTCCCAAGAATCTAGGAAACGGAGTAAGGGTTGAGGGTCCCTAGCTTGCATGGTGTTGGTAGTAGATATCCTTACAGCTGGGAACACGGCTTCCATAAAAAGCTGTGTGTAAGATATCTCATTTCCTTTCAATAAATCTTTCCATACCGACATAACATTCAAACCGTGTAACAGGTTTTGCAGTGGGTCCCATCCTTGGAAGACCCTACTCAGCAAAGGCAAGGCAAAAGAGGACGCGATAATAGCCAAACCAAACAGCTTGTACTTATCAAGATATTGTCTCTATAAGTCCCCGAATGACATGGAAACAGACTCTAAAGTCAATGTCCCTAACAAGCTCTCCTTTGTCAACCGTTCCACCACATACACCATCTCTTCCATGCTATCAAGTTGTTTTTTCTGACGGGTGGCATCATCTTTTAGCTTCTCCTTTTCTTTTTGCAAAGTCACAACCGTCTCTTTCTCTTTTCTCAAGTCCCACATAATCTTCTTCATATCAAGTTTAGCCCAGGCAACAATCAATCTTATATTATGTTGGATGGGGCTTGACTTTTCTTCTTCTTGTTCTTCTTCGGCATTCAGATTCTCTAAACTTGTCATCACCCGAACTTGTGGTCCCCTCATGTCAAACACTTTCTCAACAACATCCAACCCTTGTTCTTGCTTCTTCATCAACAGCTCCTCTGCGGTTATGTACTCTTTTTCCTTCTTTTTTAAAACACCTTGTTTTAACCACGTCTTCTCTTTTTGGGGAAAAACCTTAATCTCCTCGATTGGTTCCTGCTCTTTATAATCATTGAACCCAATTCCCATATTCTTGGGACGCAACTTTACTTCAATCGGAGCAACAATACCTTGTGCATTCTTCCCTAGCCCACCTCCTCTATACCCCATCTTCTCAAGCAACTTCATTCTGATACCTTTTGTGTGCTGGCATATGTTGAATTTCCTACAATGTTTGTTTGGCGCCGTAAAGATCTGATTTGGAAGCCAAGGAAAGTTGGATATACGATTGGTAGAATTCACTCTGTTTCACCTAAACTCGGAGAATCATATTTCTAAAGAATTCTTTTAAATAAAGTGAAAGGTCCTAAATCATTCGAAGAAATACACACAGTCAATATATGGTGAACTATGTTCTTCTATTAAAGATGCATGTTATAATATTGGCCTTTTAGATGATGACAAAGAATTCATCGATGCAATTAAGGAATCAAGTCTTTCTGGATCTGGTTTTTATCTACGGTTCTTATTTGCTACGATGTTATTGTCCAGCAGTTTGTGTAAACCAGAGATAGTTTGGAAAATCATGAAATGCATATATTGATATCCATAGATTAGTTGAAATGCATTTAATGTTAAGTTTTAGTTTTTCCTATTACTTTTACAAAAACGGCCACTTTTTTAACAACATATATTGATTTTGGTGTTTTATCGCATATTTTAATATGTGTTTATTTAATTTATTTGACATAATTATAATAGTACGTATAAAATTATAATTGATATCCACAGTCCACACACCCTGATTAATAACCCACACTTAACATAACATTTAATCCCAACAAAATTATTAACTAAAAGTGAACATTATATTTAATCAGGACATCATTAGGTCCAATTACTTTAAAAGAAACTAATATGCAATACAATGAAACTTTACTTTTCATTTCTATAATAGAATGATACTATGATATTGTCATTTGGAAGTTTTTAAATATGTTATGTTTTAGTACGAACAAAAGATAACAACACAATGATAAATTAAAATAAATTGGGGAGTTATAATAAATCAATAAATGAAATGTAGTTGCTTTTTATATGTATTTATCTCATTCGTTCTTTCATTTCTTTCGGTATAAACATGAGCAATGATAATCTCAATCCATTAGACGAATGACTTAACCCATGAATACAATACACACTTAGTTTTTACAGTTACATTTTGTGTCCCGTGGCATTGTGAGGGTAGACGGCTAGTATATATATATATATATATATATATATATATATATATATATATATATATATATATATATATATATATATATATATATAGGTTCAAATGTGGATGAACAAATATTGTATGGATATAGGGATTAATAAGGGCCAAGTATTATTTAATTTTAATAAATACCCTTTAATTTAGGCAATTTACTTTATTTAAAACCCTATTGCCTCTTCCATTGGCACCCACAAAATTGTATCCTCCTACTTCCATCTACCTTCGGCCGCATCAACTGAGTTTTGATGCATATGTCGACCATGACCCTGCTACAATTAACAAATTTTTCAAGTCTGAGGAAGAGAATGATAATCAAAATACCACCACCAGTTCAGCATGGTGGTGACACATTTCGGAGCGGGAGGATCAGGATCGGGATCCAGATCCGGGAATGGATCGGGTGACACTACAGATGGCATAGATGAGAGGCTGCGCGAGCTTATTGCAGCCGAGGTTACCAGGGGCATCCTTGACGATACCCCAGTCATTTTTGGGACGGTTAAGGAGGGAATAATGGAGATCATGGAGGAGAGAATCAGATCATTCAGAGCTGATATTGATGCAGGCCAGGTTGGGGCCCAAACTCCATCGTTTCGGGTGTTCAAGGCGTGTGGAGCACCGGAGTTCTTTGGAGTCCGAGACCCTATTGTGAGTCGACGCTGGGTGGCAGACATGGAAAATGCCCAGCGCACGAGTTTTTGTCCGGAGGCGGAAAAAGTGGGCTTTGCCTCGTGTATGTTGAGGGATCGTGCCCAGGACTGGTGGGAAGAGGTGACCAGGAAAGTGGGAGCAGTCGGGGTCGCCGAGATGACATGGGTCGAGTTTGTTCGGCGATTTGATTTAGAGTTTGCACAACCTATTGAGGTGCAACGACTAGTGCAGCAGATCACCGAGACTGCAATAAGCTCGCGCAGCCTCTCATCTATGCCGTCTGTAGTGTCACCCGATCTATTCCCGGATTCGGATCCCGATCCTGATCCTCCCGCTCCGAAACGTGTCACCACCATGCTGAACTGGAATGTCATAAATCATAACGATCAGGATTTCCATAAAACGGATCTCCCCACACCGGTCCTCCTTGACGTCGTCAGATCTAACATTGGTTCGGGTACAGGTCCTGTGCTTCCAGTAGTACGGGCCCAATACTACCTTCCACACCTACCTGTACCTTTCCCCAAGGCTCTACCTGATAACTCCAATTCGTCCCAAAATAAACCATGTATTACAAACCACCGCATAACCCAAATCCTAGGCAGGCCAAAGATTTTCTCTACCCACATCAAACAGACCAATCATAACAGGTTGCCTTTATGCATGCAAATTATACACAGAAGAGGATCAAATAGACTTTCAAATAAAAGATTTTACCATAGGACCACAACCAGACAAAGAACATGAAATAAGGCCAAATCGATCATTCTAAGGCTATAAGCTCCTAACCGTATATAATTTTAAAAACATACACATAGCAAATTCCATACGATCATACAAGTTCAAATATCAGAATAGCATGGCTAGCATATTGGGGTACTACTTACTTGGCTCGGCTGATCATGCGCGTTGCACTCTCATCTTTTCCTTCTTTCAAAAGCTTTTTATGTCCTTTTTTATAAAACAAATTTACCATTTCCTTAGTTTGAGTCCTGACACACCCGAGAGTATGCCTGAATCCCTCAAACCAATGCTCTGATACCAACTTGTAACGACCCAAATTTTAGAACGAAAATTTTCATTTTTAATTAGCCAACCATATTTCATAAAACATGAAAATCTCATTATATGTTTTCAAAATCACCAACATTACAACAATTATTATTTTCAAAACATCAGAGTGTCCCCCAACCCATATCGAAAAAGAGAGATAGAGTGCACGCTGCATCATCACGCCTTGCCTTTGCCTTTAGGCTCCGATGTACCTGAAACAAATTGACAGACGGTAAGCTGAAAGCTTAGTGAGCCCCCCAGAGCATACCCCACACAAACCATATATCACATTAGCTATAAAGCTATCTCTACCACTATCACACGTCAATTAGCTATGAAGTTATCTCTACCGTTAGCCACAAGGCTATCTCTACCATTATCACACGTCAATTAGCTATGAAGCTATCTCTATCGTTAGCCACAAGGCTATCTCTACCATCAGCCATAAAGGTTGTCTCTACCTTTAGCCATAAGGCTATCTCTACCATTAGCCACAGAGGCTATCTCTACCATATGTCATGCATACATACATATCGCACCTCTACATAGCATGTAAACGAACTAACATAAAATGGGTCGGCCTTGGTGCCTTAGACCCATTGGTATGGTGAGAAAACTCACCTCACAAAGCTGAACCGGAAACTGAATTTAGGTATGACCTACGTTGCTCCTCCCAAACTCCCTATACGCAACAAATAAATAATCTTAACTCAGCCCCTAAGGCTCCTCTGAGTCAAACCTGGTCAAAGTCTAGGTCTGTAGTCAAGATCAACATTCCATATTGACCTTGACTCGACGAGTGCAATCAGCCACCCATTAAGTTCCTTGCTTAACTCATCAACTCACCGAGTCATCCGAGAGACTCATCGAGTTCCTTGATGTTTACGGCCGTAAACTCCTAACCGAACACCCTTGACCGTGAACCCTTGGCCGTGAACCCTTGGCCGTAAACCTTTGGCCGTGAACGAGGAAACCCTCTCGACTCGTCGACTCACTTGCACGACTCGCCGAGTCCCCTTAGTCCCTTATGTTTACGGCCCTTTCCAGTGGGACTCAAGGTCCCAAACTTCAGATCTATACTCTACTAGTGTGGATAACACGTAAAGTTGCAAACTTTACGTGCATGCAAAGCCTCACATGGCCATAACACCAAAACTAACCTTCAAACAAGGTATTCATGCATGCAGAGGGAATGAGCTTAATAAAAGTTGCAACTTTATGATATTTGGGACCTAAGAAGGTCTAGATCTAGAGCCATATCCTTGTGATAGGTCCATATCTAAGCTTGCTTCCATTTCCTCAAAGTTGGTTAGGTAACAAATTCATACCTCAATTCAATGCCCCAGACGAACTAGTTGCTAAATCTAGTGTTTTCCCTTGATACTTCTTCTTCAAGCATGGAATTCCTTCCACAATTCCAAGGTTTAAGCTCCCAAAGCTCTTACTTCACACACCCAAGTCTTTGCGGCCGTAAACGATCTCTTATGATCTTAAGCGAGGCTACAAAGGCGTATAATTTCGTTTATATAGGGGGGCATACCCCAAAATTTAAGGTTTTTTTAAACAGCTCGGACTCGCCGAGTCGGTCCCGTCCCGCGTTCCATGATATCACGACTCTACTCGACGTGGTGATCTCCCAACTCGCCGAGTCCATGCATAAAACCTTTCCAAATCATTCCAGGTGTTACAAGTCTCCCCCGCTTGAACTAGACTTCGTACTCGAAGTCTGATGACCCAAACAAATCGGGGTAATGTTCTCGCATCTCCTCTTCCGGTTCCCAAGTCCATTCGGAACCCTTCCGATGTTGCCATTGCACCTTTACCAACCTTACTTCCTTGTTCCGAAGAACCTTGGTCTTCCTATCCAGAATTGCAACAGGCTTCTCTATGTAATTCAAGCTCTCATCCACCTGAATGTCATCCAACGAGACAATCGCAGCTTCTTCGGTGACACACTTCCAAAGCTGCGAGACATGGAATGTGTTGTGAATCTGACTAAGCTCTGCCGGCAACTCCAAGCGGTAGGCTACCTTACTTACCCGGTCAACAATCCGGAACGATCCTATATATAGAGGCCCTAGCTTTCCCCCTCTTCCGAAACCTGATGATCCCCTTCCAGGGTGACACCTTTAATAACACGAAGTCCCCCACCTGGAACTCCAAGTCTGATCGTCGTCGGTCAGCATAACTTTTCTGACGGCTC